TGAACCAGGCTTTCTAAAGCTTCTAACTTCTCAGAGGTCATAGGCCATTGTCCTACCCAGACAGGTTCCTCTGTTAGCCATTTTAAAGGTAGGGATTTTGGTTCCTCTGTTTGTTCAGCACTTGTATTCTGTTTTTGTACAGCCTTGATATTTGGTATCTGTCATGTATAGTACTTTATAATATTTTTTTCCACAATCATGAGGTCGTTTATGGTTCCTGTCTAATACTGGAGGAATGTTAATCTGTGTATTCCATTGCTGTAATAGATCACAACCCCATAAATTTATCACTACATCAGCACATATATGGTCTCAACCTTTCTCTCTGTCCTTCTGGTCCTATACATTCAATCCATCTCGTGCTCTCTTTTACCTGAGACAGGGTTCCAATCCCTATGAATTGAACATTTACCTCATTCAGGGGCCATCTTCGATGCCAAGATTTATTAGATATGATAGTTACGTCAGCCCCTGTGTCAATTATCCCATCAAACAGTCTGTTATTCATCTTAACTATCAATCTAGGCCTTTGACTATTTATAGAGGTTTGCCAAAATATACGTTTTTTTTTTTTTATTTCCTTCTGTCATATTTGATTCAACTTCCATCACTAGTTTGTCATCCAGAGCGGTATGAGTTTTTACAATAGGCACAGAATTTTCTAATTGTCCTGTGGGAGATTGTCTTCCACTGTGACTGGGAATGTTTGGACCACCTGTGATGTGGGAGCCTTCGAGAGGCCCCCCAAGGAGTTTCCCGATGGTAAAGGGTTTCCTTGCTTGTCTCTGGTCAATCTACACTCATTTGTCCAGTGTCTGCCTTTGCCACACCTTCTACATAACCCAGGAGGCTGAGGCCTTCTGCTTGATTCATTCCTGGGAGTGTTATTTCTAGGGAAGCTTTGCCTACAATTTCTTCTTAGATGTCCTGTCTTACCACAGTTATAACATCTGACATGTTGATATCTCTTCAAACCTTTGGAGATGGCTTCTCCTACCCATGCTTCTATGTCACCATAATTAAGACCTCTGTTATCTTGATGTCTTCTCAGACATTTAGCTATGGCTTCTTGTACCCATGCTTCAGTCTTATTGTCATTATACTCTACGTTGGCTGCATATAGGACCCATTCATTCAAGGGTGCTGATCACATTTTTAAAGGCCAAAGCACCTGTTTGCATTGAGGATTCGAATTCTCATAAGCTAAAGATTCTATGAGTATTCGCCTAGAATCTATGTCTGCTACCTTTAATTGTACTGCCCTAGATAATCTTTCTAGAAACACACTAAAGCATTCTCTAGGTTCTTGCCTTATCTTGATATAGGATTCTATCCTCTCTCCTAATTCATGAACCTTATCCCAAGCATTCAAAGCTGCTCTACTGCATAGATACAAGATATGTTCATCATAGGCAGCTTGGGTTTCTGGGTCAGCATAAAGACCCTCACCAAGAATTTTATCTTGGGGAGTTTTATAACCTTTCTTTAAGCCCTGAAGTTGAAGAGCTTTTGCTTCCTCTCTCCATAAAGCCCTCCATTCTAATTGAGAGGAGCTTTCAAGGACAGCTGATATTAATTGATTCCAATCTTTAGGGGTTACCTTGTTATTCCTTGCCCATGATTCTACTAATTGCTTCACACATGGTGAGTGCATACCATAAGAGACTATTGCTTCCTTTATACCTTTTAAATCTTTCATACGTATTGGTTCCCACAGATATGCAATGACACCTTTTGGGTGTTTTTTCGTTGCTGTTTTTTCATTAATAGATACAGGGAAAGCTCCCCTGACCCTAAATGGTGTGGAAAATTTTAAGTCTTTTTCATGCCCTGTTACTTGTAGTTCTTCTTCTGATGTATAATTCGTCTAAAGCCTGAAATCTATTCACCATTGTTTTTTTGAGTGTCTGAACTTCTTGAATCAAATAACTTTCTAGAGACTTCGTTGCATCAGTCAGTTTCTTACTTTCTCCAACTATAAATGATTCCATGTTTTTAATATTCTCATTCTTAGATATTATCTGAGTGGCATATAAACTGCCTTCCAGAAAAAAATGTTCTATCTGCTAGCTTGCCATTATCCTCAGACATGGAAGAGATTCTATCATCTAGTCTTTCTATCTGATGTTCCAGTTTTTTAACTTATTAGTAGCTTCCTCCGACCAGGAAGGAGATTTTTCTGCTAGGGTATTAATGCATTGCATTGTTTCTGTTCTGGTTATTGAGGCATCAGACATGGAACAAATTCTGTTTTCTACTTGGTCATTTTTATGTTCCACGTTTTGTATTCTACCTGTCTGCTCTCCAATGCCTTCTTCAATATTCTGAACCTTTTTTTTCTAAGCATTCTATGTTTTGAATTCTATCATTTTCAATGTTTCGAATCCTTGTTATTAAGTCTCCTATGGTTTGTACAAGTTCCTTATTGTTTGCTGTAATCTCAAACCATCTCTTTAAGAATATCATGTTAATGATGAAACCCATTTCTATTACAAAATAAATGTACATATTGGTCCAATCATAATTTTCTTCTGCTAAAATTCCTTCTATATATGAAGTAAAAGAATTCTTAAAGTCCTACATTGTAAAATTATCTGCCATAGGTATAGAACAATTGATCTTAGATATTATATCAGCTTAAATTGCAAAGGCTGTTACAATTACCTTAGGTGTAATTCTGCTGTCCTGAAACTTTGATGCTTTTAGTTGTAGATCTCAGCTTGTGGTAGTTATGCCTGGAGGTGTACCACCAAATAGTGTCCAGATGTGTACTGCCAAATAGCGTCTGGCAGACGATCCTTCTGATCCCAGTCCCTGTAGAATAGCTCTTAACAAACTATGGCAAGCTAAATTTTGTTAGACAAATGAGTAAAAGGAGTCTTGTGGAATTGCTGGGACCACAGGGCTAACCACGGGAAACGCACAAGCAGGGCAGGCGCCAAGCTGCTCTGCGCGAATGCAAAGTGCGGAACTGGGCAAAAAATGAGAAGCAGTAAGTGCCTTCTCAGGCCCGCTGTGTCCTGCGCTACCGTCTTGCCAGCAAGAACGACGCAGCACACTCAGAATCCTTCTGCAGTAAAGCTTTAATGCCTCTTGAGAGGGAGAGCATAAGCTTACAGAACGAAGACCCCAAACTCCCAAAAACCCATCCCTTATATAGGATGGCAACCGCCACCTTGGACGTGTCACCCCCTGACTGGCTGCAGCTCCTTGGACCATATAACGCCACGGGAGAGGCGGAGCCCAAGGGATGGAAAGTTACCCAGCGCCTGCGCACTAGCTTGTTCACCATTCGGTGCCTGCCGGATGGAGGCGCCATCTTGTAACGGCTCCCTACATCTAACGGCTCCCTACATCTCCCCCTTTTTTATTAATTAATGAAAAGGCTTCAAATTTACAAGCAAATAGGTCATCCATATATTGAGGGATAGAGGCAGAGGTTGTACCTTCCCAATCAAACATTAAGACTGTGTATGAGAGTCGCCATTAGGCTGTTAGCTTGACCCAAAGCGCTCTCGACCTGTCCTCTGCCGTTTTTCTGGGAAAGGGAGACTAGGGCAGGCAACCCTTATGCAGGACAACATGCCTCCCAGAGAAGCCTGCATACAGGGCAACTCTCTGTGCGATGCCTTGCTCGACATCCCTCATGGGCTGCTCAAGCCAGACACTCTACCCTGTGCAATGAGCCTAGGCTCCGGGTGTGCAAGAGCTGTTTGGCCGGCGGCCTATTGCTTAAGCATAGTTAGCCAAATGTCAGTGGAAGCCCCTTGTTCTAAAGCCACAAGTGCCTGGGCGATAACCACCTTGTCTCTCTTAGTTTGAGCCCTGAGCCTACAGACCAGCCAGAGAAGCAACACCAATCTGCAGCAGACGGCTGCACCAAACAATCCCACCCCCACCCATTCCTTAAAATAGGAGACAGCTGAAGCAATCCATGATGACAATCCCTCCGTCAATGACAGATCCAGGCGCGTGGAATTAATCTGAATAATAGCGGCTCTCAATTCACGTAGCGTCTGCTCAAATTCAGAGGTCCAATTCTGCAACATAAACTGAGAAAGGCTTTTAGACAAATTAGTCGCTTTGGTGAAATTCTCATATTGGATGGAGGTGACGCACAGGCCAGGGAGCTTGTGCTCGCAGCCTAGTATCTAGTTATTCCTGTACGAGGTCAATACGTTGGTTCACCAACATCAGGCCTCCCTATATCTGAGTGTTTGCCGAGGCCTGTCTATCCAAGGCTTCAGAGACAGTGGCCGACAGACCATTAATGGTCTGTGCAGTTTGTACCGAGGTGAACAATGCAAGGGCAGAAGCCGTAATGGCTGCAGTAACTGCTGTGGCAGCCACTATACCAACAATAATTGCAGAGATCCCAAAATCTCTTTTTTCTCTAAAAAGCATCATATTGCTAGGTGTATCCACCGGGACGGGCACAAAGCGTGGCATGCGAGTTATTACAGCTAAAGGAAATTTATCAGCATCCCAGCACAAAGTATAGTAACAGCCCCCTAATTTGCAATCTAAATCAAGCTCAGTATTATTAATAGTATTATTGCTCACAATCCAAATAAAAGGAGGCCAGACACACACTGGTGTAGCATCATAATCTGTATGTTTGAAGGAATGATACTTTATATCAGAGGCAGTTCAACTAAATGACCCAGAGTTGTGACCCAACTGGAGGGCTGCTCCCAAGAGACCCTTTCCAGTCAAACTCCAACTGTCCCTTTTCACTTTTGCCCCCTTTAAGCATTGCCATAGATGTAAGATCCGTGCAGCTTCCATTAATGCCACAGAGCAGCCATTGGTCAAAAGGGTTAAGGTTGGATCGCATGGGATCCAAGGATGTGAAATTAGTTCCCATACCCATATTGGGGGAGAAAGAGAACAAGCCCTTCACAAAGCTCCTGAATTTGTTCATCCTTAGGCAGGAAAGCTAAGCCCAGCTCTTTATTGGTGGCAAAGAATCGGGGAAAAACTTGTGCATTATACATCACCGGCATCGGAAGTGGAAACGTTGACATGATTCCCCAACGTGGTTCCCCCTGGACAGCTGAGATCTCGATCATCATCAGTGACATTAGGAGGAGCAGCTCGCTCCCCCCTTTCATATGTCTGGTCTGCTGTATCCTTCTGCTCCAGGACTGTCCTGGTGAGTCTTTCAGGAACCCAGAAGGGATTTTCTTCATTCTGTGGGAAAACACAAACAGCTCCCCTGGATCTTATTAGAATAGGATCCGGGCCTTTCCATTCATTGGTTAACACATCTTTCCATTTCACTAATTCCTTAGGTTGATGTGGGTCTGAGCAATGCCGTTCTGCTGCGGTCTGATCATGCTCATCTGAATTCAAAAAATTTATGGTGAAGAGTACCACTGCTATGGCGACTTGTGGTACGGGGGGGGGGGGGCAAATCCTTTATTATTCCCCCTTTGTTTAATTAAATATGATTTGAGCGTGCGATGTGCGCGCTCAATGATGCCCTGCCCTTGAGGGTTGTATGGCAAGCCTGTAATATGTGTGACTTGCATTTGTGCACAAAATTGTTTAAATTTCTGAGAAGTATAAGCAGGTCCATTGTCAGTTTTTAAGCATTTAGGCTTTCCCCAGGCACTCCATGCCTCAAGACAATGTTGAATTACATGGGAGGTCTTTTCTCCAGTGAGTGGTGTTGCATGGAGAACGCCGGAGCAGGTGTCTATTGACACATGCACGTATTGAAGTTTCCCAAAGAAAGAGACATGAGTGACATCCATCTGCCATACTTGTAATGGCAAAATCCCTCTTGGATTTACACCAGTATGGCGTACAGGGAGAAACTGACAACAATTGTGACATTGAGTAACAATATCACGTGCCTCTTTCCTGGTGAGAGAGAAGTGCCTGCGTAGGGTCTCAGAGGTAACATGAAAGTTGTCATGGAAAGCTTTAGCGGCCTGTAGCGGGGGGGGGGGGGGAACAAAAACTGCCGCAGCCAGTTTTGTGGCTTTATCTGCCAAATCATTGCCTTGGCTCATTGGGCCAGGAAGTCCCGAATGAGCCCTAATATGTGTAATATACATGGGAGCCTGTCTGGTTAGCAAGCAATCTTGTAATTTCTGGAATAAAGATGCCACTCTGCTAGTGAATCTAATGACACCAGCCGTCTCCAATAAGTTTACAGCATTAACCACACAGGAGGAATCAGGAACAATATTAAGAGGACCTGGAAATTTTTCAAAAACATCTAAAACTACTAAACATTCTACTACCAGAGGGGAAGTCTCGGCATATTGCCGGGAGACCACCTGGGAGCCCACAACTTAAGCTCCCAGGCCAGTCTTGGAGCCATCTGTGAATACCACTGGCCCATTTTTTAACGGAATGGGAGAGGTTACCCGGGGAAACACAACAGGGTAAGATGCAGCAAATTGCAACAGAGGGTGTTTAGGGTAATGATTATCAATCTTTCCCAAAAAGGTGGTAACTAATATGGCCCAATCATCAGAGGTAGCAGCCAATGTCTGTACTTGAAAAGAATTGTAGGGAACAATTAAAGCTGCGGGATGTCTGCCAAAATGGCTGACAGCGGCCTTCAAGCCCCTAAGGGCAAGCTGAGCTATCGCTGCAGGGTACCAGTCAATAATCTTCTGAGGAGAGGCATGTGGGTGGATCCATAACAAAGGCCCATTTTGCCATAATACTGCAGTAGGTAATCTTTTTGTTTTAAACACACAAAGGGAGAATGGATGAAGTAAATCAATGCGACTCAACTGTGCTTCTTTAATGGCTTCCTCCACTAAATGGAGGGCCGTCTCCGCTGCGGGTGTCAAAGATCTAGGGGAGGTGATATGGGTGTCCCCTTCCAAAACATCAAATAGAGGCTTTAATTATGTGGAGGGAATCGTTAAAAACGGCTGCAGCCAATTTATGTCTCCCAATAATTTTTGGAAATCATTTAAGGTGTGCAAGTTCTCCCTATAAATCTCTAATTTTTGCGGAAGAATCTTGTCTGGGAGAACCACAGAACCTAGGAAATGTCCGGTATCTGCAATCTGGACCTTTTCCATGGCAATCTGGAGACCCCAAAGTTGTAATGTTTTAAGCAGCAAAGGGTAAGCCTCTTGAAGAATCCTTAAATCCTTATGGCACATGAGCACATCGTCCATATAATGAATCACAATTAAACTTGGATATTGTTCTCTGATAGGTCTAAGAGCCTCCTGTACATATAATTGACATATGGTAGGGCTATTTGCCATGCCTTGAGGTAACACCTTCCATTGGAACCGTCTGTCAGGTTACATATGATTAATGGAGGGGACAGGGAACGAGAAACGCGACCTGTCAGGAGGATACAGGGGAATAGAGAAAAAACAGTCTTTAATATCTAGTATTATCAAATTCCAATTCCTGGGTAAAGCAGAAAGCACGGGAAGGCCTCGCTGCACCGTACCAAGAGGATACATTTGCTCATTAATGGCTCTTAAATCATGGAGCAAACGCCATTTCCCTGATTTCTTTTTAATAACAAAAATTGGAGTATTCCAAGGGGAGTATTCCTAAGGCCAATTGTTCTGCAACAAGATTGGTTACAGCCTCTAGTTTTTCAGAGGTTAATGGCCATTGGGGAACCCATACCGGATCCTCTGTCTTCCATGGTATAGGCCGTGCTGCCCCAATGTCGCCTAGGAAAAACCCAGGCCTTGTCTTCCTTGATTTGGATCTGGGGAAATGGGGTCTATCCGCCCTTGTTCTAGACATCCTAATCCTTTTCCTGACTCATATCCCATTTTCTTCATGATGTTAATAGTTTGTGGTGAATATTCATTAGATAAAATAAGCCCCATACCTTGCATTATGTCTCGTCCCCATAAGTTAACAGGGAGAGGGAGCACATATGGGGCAAACTGTCCTTGATGTCCCTCCATTGATTTCCAGGTGAGTGTAGAAGAGCTAATAGTGGGGTGAGAACGGTAGCCCAATCCCTGTAAAGAATGTGATGATTCTATAACAGGCCAAGATTTTGGCCACCAGTGAGAGGAAATTATACTCTTATTTGCCCCTGTATCCAAAATACCTTCAAATTTCTTGCCATTAACCCATAGAGACAATTTTGGCCGATCATGGAGGTAGGCTGAGTCCTGTCCTGAAGAGCCCATCCGCCTATTCCCCGACTCTTGATAGGGGCTGCCTGGGAGGAGTAGTAATTGAGCTATTCTATCTCCTTGATTGATAGAAAAGACCCCATTTGGACTAGAGCATAACACCTGGATCTCAGGAGAGTGCTGGCTGTCAATGATGCCTGGGTGAACAATTAGACCTCGTAATGTGAGCGACCCTCTACCGAGAAGGAGACCTATACTCCCTTTCCGCAATGGTTCGGGGGTTTGGACAGGGACGGGCTGTATACCCATCTGAGGCATTAATAAGAAGTCGGAGGCGGCACGCAGGTCCATTCTTGTTCCGTCTCCGGGGGGGGGGGGGGCTCGTCCATCACCCTGGCGGATCTGTTCCCGTATTTAATGGGCCCCGGGACCGAGGGCCCATTGCTCCGTTTTTTGGAATCTCGCTTGTTGGTGTTTCCATGGGAGGGAGAATCCTGCCCTTTATATCTCTCACCGAGCGGCACTGGGTGGCCTTATGATAGCCTTTGCCACAACCAGTGCAAAGAGTTGGTGGATCTCTCTCCCTTTTTGACATTTTACAGTCTTTTCTTAGGTGTCCTGCTTTTCCACATCTAAAGCAAGTTCTTTTGTCAGGCCCCTTAAGGGGGCGCTTCTGAGACTGTAGGATGACAGCAGCTAACCCTGCATTAGTGAGGGGTCCTCCAAGTTCTCTACAGATCCTAAGCCAATCTTGTAATCCCTTATTCTTCCTCGGGGCTATAGCTGCACGGCATTCTTGGGTGGCCTGTTCAAAAATTAGCTGTTCAATTAGAGGCATGGCTTGTTCTGAATCACCAAAAATACGACCGGCAGCCTCGGTCATTCTGGCCACGAAGTCAGAAAATGGCTCTTGGGTCCCTTGAATAATTTTAGTGAGCTGTTTATCAATCCCTCCTTTCTTGGAGAGCTCCTTCCAGGCCCTAATGGCCGAACTGGCGATTTGTTGATAGGCGCCCCAATGGTAGTTTGTTTGATCAGCTGCAAAATGACCCTGGCCTGTTAGTAGGTCAAATGTCCATTGTTGCTGTTCAGGAGTCAAGGCCATCACATTAGATCTGGCCTGCTCTTGGGCGGCCTCATGCCAGAGTGCTTTCCATTCCAAGTACCGCCTTCACGACCGTCTGCCAGTAGGCTGGCGTCATAGCTGTCATGGCCAGTCTATCTAGTTGTGCAAGAGTAAAGTTAGTTCTAACTGATTCTGCCAGCTCTTTTATCTGATTATATTCCACGGGTGCATGAACCCGTCCTCCTTCAGCGCCTTCAAAGACAGGGTAAGTGAGGCGCAACTTTCTTTTTACCCTATCTGGGAGAAAAGAGTACGAGTTCGGACGAATCTCATAGGCAGGGGGCACCGAAGGGACAGCCTGAGAGAGGACTGGTTGACGCCGCCGTCCCTGAGATCTTTTGCTGTTTTGTCCGTAACCATCCGGGTGGTATCTTTCTTCCTCATATCTAGCAGCCTCTTCTTCTAATTCGGCCTCTTCCTCAGTATCTAAAACCTCATCTCCTGACTCCTCGGAGTCATCGGAGCTATCTAAATTTAAGGCTTCAAGCTTGAGTACAGGGTATAAGCCAGCTCCTCCCTTTGATGTAACAACAGGGGGAGGATCCCTGTGGTCTGGCAAATACACCCCCTTGTCTTCAGACTTACGGGGGGGGGGGGCTTTTTCCTTCTTAGGGACGGATTTTTTCTTGCGCGCGCCCAACCTCTCACTACACTCGGTTTCTGACATGCTATCCTGAACCTCTTCAAGGGTGCTCCTACCTTCTGCTATGGCGCCCTTACAGGCTTCATCTTCGAGGCAATTCTTAACAAGCTTCCAAATAGCCTTTGTCCCTAGTCTCAGGTCTCCGTCTGCCCATTTGCAGTCAAGATCTTTGCCTAGTTTACAGTAACGGTGATAACAAAACATAATGGCAAGAAAGATCAAGAGGGTCCCTAGTACAATCACAAAAGCCTCAACACTACCTTCCCATGGTGGAGATAATCCCAAACCAAGGTCCAGAAAAGACATATCTCTCCGAGCGTATCTGCCTGCAGTTCTGAATCCTCCTTGTAGTCAAGGGGTCTCCGATGGTGCTGACGATGGCGAGGTCTCAGATTCCCGGGTTTTGGCACCAGTTGTCCCGCGCTACTGTCTTGCCAGCAAGAATGACGCAGCACACTCAGGATCCTTCTGCAGTAAAGCTTTAATGCCTCTTGAGAGGGAGAACATAAGCTTACAGAACGAAGACCCCAAACTCCCAAAAACCCATCCCTTATATAGGATGGCAACCGCCACCTTGGACGTGTCACCCCCTGACTGGCTGCAGCTCCTTGGACCATATGATGCCACGGGAGAGGCGGAGCCCAAGGGATGGAAAGTTACCCAGCGCCTGCGCACTAGCTTGTTCACCATTCGGTGCCTGCCGGATGGAGGCGCCATCTTGTAACGGCTCCCTACATCTAATAGCTCCCTACATCGCTGTGGAGGCAAAGGAGTTGTAGGGCAGAGGCAAATGTCCCAAAGCTGTGATGAGTCCACCTGGTTAGGCAAGGGACCCTGCCCATTGGGGAATGGCGTCTCCTGCCTGCCGCCCGGGTGAAACCCAGGTCCCGTGAAAATCCTGATCCCACTTCTGACACCAGGTATTGCAGTTAAATAAGGATGAGGATAAACAAATAGGCCAAGTAGATGTTTATTCAGGGAGAAATAACTTACAACCTAGACAGATTAACACCAGCAGGCTCCACCGGATGCTCTCCTCTCCACCACCTACCAGCAAGAGTGTTCCCCGGCTCCTCCTCAGACCTCCTTCCACAGGTCACTTCCGCCCCTGGCCCCACCCACCAATGGGTGTGGTCAGTGCCACAGAAGGAGACAAAGTGAATAATATCCCACTACACACACACCCCTCCAAGGGATGAGGAAATAGCTCAGTGGGTAATGCACTTGCTTTTTAAACATGAGGATTTGAGTTCAGTCTCCAGAACCCATGTGAAATGCTAGGCATGGTGGTGCACACTTGTAATCCCAGTGCTTCAAAGACAGAAAGAGGTGGATCCCTGGGGCTTTCTTGGCTAAGTTCCAGGCTAGGTCTCAAACAAATGAAAACCAAAGTGGACAGTGCCAAGGGATGACACCTAAGTTTGTTCTCTGTTTTACACACAGATGAACACATGCACACATGCACACACACACACATACACACACACACACGAACACATGAACAACCAAACACACATGAACACATACATACAAACATACACACACGAACACACACACTATATATATATATATATATAGTGTGTGTATATATATATATATATATATATATATATATATAGTGTGTGTGTTTATGTATCTTATAGTGACACCAAAGAGAAGCTAACTTAGAGTTACATGTAGTAACTGAAACACTCCCTGTGTGTTCAGAATGGAAGATTTAACACAGTCAGGTCAGAAGTATCCATTGATGTGTTATTGGTCACAGTGATGAATGCTGTTCTGGTTCTGGTTTTTCCCAAGGTCTGCATGACTATCTCACCCTAAACTACTCTGGGAAATGGATTGTGTAGAAAGATTTAAGAATTTTATGTGGGGCTGGGTGGTGGTGACACACCCCAGCACTTGGGAGGCAGTGGATCTCTATGAGTCTGAGGCCAGGCTGGTCTACTGAGCAAGTTCCAGGACAGCCTCCAAAGCTACAGAGAAACTCTGTCTCCAAAAAACAGAACATGTGGGAAGGGGCTGGAGAAATGGCTCAGCTATTAAGTGAGCATGGAGTTTTTGCCACCTGCAACTCCAGTTCGAGGAATCTGGCATCCTCTTCTGGTCTCTGTGAACAATGCATGCATGGGGTGCACAGACTCAATTGCAGGCAAAACACTTCATACATTAAAAATATCTGTGTCAAAGCCATTCTTCTATTTGTTCACGTTGTTATTTTAAGACCTCTGTTGGAACTATGTCTTCTATGCTTTATTTGTTTTCATTGTTATTAAGGATTTTTGGGTGTATGTGTATGCATGAATCTATAATAATACATTTTTAAATCTTCCTCTTCCAGAAGAACTAACACTCCAAACCCACAGTTTCTTCATTGGATGTAACATGAAGATGTCTTGGTTGTTATGCAGGATGGATGAGAATAAATATTCCTTAATTAGGAAATTCTAATGTCCTCTCTTCTCCCTCTCCAGGAAGAGAGAACAAAGTTGCTGTTAGGAAAGGACCTCATAGGAGGACTCAGCTCCATGGGGCCACAGAGGTGGGTCTGTGTGTGTGATATATATGTTTAACATGCTTATGTGTGTTTGAGTATGTTCTGTGACCTGATGGAATGTCTATGTGGGTGTCTAGTGAGTCTGTGTAGTATGTAATGTATATGACTTGTGTCTGTATTTGTCTAGGGACCTTTCTGAGTCATGAGGGGGGTGTTCTAATGTGGGCAGATGGATGAGTGACTGATGAGTCTGTGTAGGATTTTGTGTGTGTGTGTGTGTGTGTGTGTGTGTGTGTGTGTGTGTGTGTACAGATTTAGGAATGAGGAAGATAGGACAGGACATCCATGCCCCTAGCCACACTTGTGGCCTAAGCTCCTCCACAAAATATGCATCATATTTCCCAGGTGAGGTAAACAGGGACCTGTGAGCCCTCCCTTGGGTTGCTTCTATTTCTGGCTGAGGCTGTTTCAACTTACCAACCAAGGGCTTGGCATGGACCTGAACTCCACATTGCCCAGTCCCTAGCTGCTGAACCTTCAAGGCCACACCAGCATCCCTGAGCCCTGACAGGATTTCCATTCATAGAAGAGTCTTCCCATGGAGGAATGAAGTACACCATCTCCTTGCCTGCCTCCAGGGAGCCCTGCCAACAGCTTGGTGTCTTCCCTAGTTTCTGGAAAAGTGGAAAGGAATATGCTCTAAGAATACCAGTCCTGAGGAGGGAGGGGGAACTGGGATTGGAATGTAAAAAACAAATTAATTTTATAAACGGGGGGGGGGGGGCTGGGGCTAGAGAGATGGCTCAGTGATTAAGAATACAGACTGCTCTTCCAGAGGACCCAGGTTCAATTGCCAGTTCCCACATGGAAGCTCATAACTATCTATAATTTCAGTTCCAGGGGATCCAATACCCTCACACAGACATGAATGCAGGCAAGACACCAATGCACATAATATATATATATATATATATATATATATATATATATATATATATATATAATCAATCAGTCCTTGGGTGAGGGAGCCCTGGAGGTTTAGAGCTGCCATGTCGTTTAGAGATGCCTGTCTGGCATCCTGCTTCAGTGACTCCTCTCTGCCCATCACACTCCTGGGGCCCCACACTGTTGTGCTAGGATTTGTTGTTTTACTGAGATTGAGACTAAAACCTCACACATGCTAGACAGGCATCCACCCCCAGCTATGGCCTCAGCCTCCTGTTAAAGATTTATTTGTTTGTTTCTGTGGAGGTCAGAGAGCAGCTCCTGGGAGTCAGTTCTGTCCTGCCACCTTTTGGGGGCTGGGCACCCAACACCGATAGTCTGGCTTGGCTGCAAGTGCCTTTACCCACTGAGCCATCTTACTGGCTCTCTTTTCTTCCTTATCAACCCTCGAGCATTCTGTAGGCTTTACCTCCTCTGCAAACATCACCTTGCTGTCTTCTCGATAGAGCTCAGACTCCAGGAGGGCAGATGTCTCTCTTTGTTTCTCCATGTGCCTAAAAGAGTTTACAGCATTTAGAAGGGGGTCAAAAACTGTATGCAAGCACTGGATGTCCACAGGTCTGGAACTCTGCCTTACTGCCCAAAGGCCACCCAGAGCCAGGGAGAGCTTAGGTGAGTGAGGCTGGGAAGTCCTGTCAAGTTTCCACTGCCCCGTGGGAAGACACCCCTGTGGGTGGGAGGAGCAGAGCATGGAAGGATGTGCAGTTTGTGGGGACAGAGCTGCTGGCCAGGGATGCACTTAATTTAGCCCAAGTCTGGCAAGGTCAGAGTAGATTAATGCAAATCAGGTGCAGCCCTTTTCTCAGGAGAAGCCGGGAGCCAATATTTGGCTCAAGTGTATTGCTGGGCTAAGAGGCCTAGGCCAGGCCCAGAGCGGGTGGAGGTAACAAGACCTTGGGACTGAGCAACTTTCTTTTCAGGAGAGGAAAAGAGCTGTAGTCATGTGACTGCTCAAGGAGCCAAAACAGTTGGTGTGTTAAGTTTCCTTCAGCTACAGTGTCACAATCTGCAAGCTCCTTTCATGGACAACCTCATGATGGCCACTGTCACCTGTTGGGGAACACAGGTGAGCATTTTATAGCTGAAGTGAGGGAGCAAGAAAGACCTACAAGAGTGGCTGCTGGCACCCAGGTGGAGGCTGGGGCCCAGGGCCCCACACCGTCATATGACAGATGGGAGTCTCCTTCCCATAGTAGGGTTGACAAGGCCACCAGGGAGCCAGTCAGCCTCTTTGGGCTGACTCCAGGCCCTGCTATTTATTGAGCAGGCCTGTTCCTTGGGACTCAGTTTCCCTGTCTAGACCAGCCTGTCCAGCTGATGGCGTTCAGAGCCTTGAGTATGTCTAGGTTTTGTTCGCCATCAGAGTGTACCATCAGTCAGTAGCTTTGAGAAGCTGGGGTGGGGGTTGTTGCTTTCCTCTTCTTCTGCCTTCCCCTGCCTTCCCCTTTCCTTAGCTTCCATCCTGGGCCTTGGAGGCAGAATAGAAGACAGCCCAGAGGCTCTTCAAGGCTACCACCAGCAGCTGCTTCAGTAAACACCATGGCAGTCACAGCAGCTGCCTGCACAGGTCCCATTAGGGGCCGATGAGTCGAGGTTAGGGGATTCTGTTCAAGGGCTGAACAGCAATATATTCTAGAGTCTCAGATGTCCACTTCAAAGCAGGGCCAAGCCTAATAATGTTCGTCAGTGTGAGTAGAGGGGCAAGGTATGTCCTAGGGCTAGCGAACTGGTTCAGAGGGTAAAATTGCTTGCCACTCAGGCTGATGGCCTGAGTTTGATCCCTGGATCCCATGTGGTGGAAGAAAAGAACACACTCCCACATCCTTTAACCTCTACATACAAGCTGAGTATGTGTGCCCTGCCCCTAGTAAATAAATACATGTAAAAAAGATTTCTTTCAAAGGTGTGGTCAATATGCATAATGGAATATTTTATAGCCCTGAAAAGGGATAAGGTACGGATACATGATGAAACTAAGTGGACTTGGAAACAGCCCCTCAGTAGGAGATGCTGGATACCACAGTCATATGCTGTACATAGAAACTTGTTCATCTGAAGCAGAGGGACGCTAGAGCAGTGCGTAGATGTCATGGTGCTTAGCGGTCATGTTCATATTGTCCCTCTCTCTATGTTCATCTCTCTGTCTGTCTTTCTCTCCTGAAGTGGCTCATGATTCTGCTACACACTGGGCTCAATGTTCAAGTGGGGACTCACACAGAAGCCCACCTACTTCTGTGTGGTTGGTGAGCAGAAAATAACATAGATGCAGAGGTCACCCAGGCAGTGTCCCATCTTAGCTTTGACTAGAGTTTGTCCTGTCTTCCTGTGTAAGTCAAGTTTTTCCTGCTTTGTTATCAAGTCCTCAGTTGTCAAATGGGGAAACACAGTGGTTAAGGATAGGACAAAATAAGGTTTTCCTGTCAAAGGCATTCAGGACACATAGTGAGTGCAAGAGCACTTGATGGTGTGTGTGTAACACACATACACACACACCCCTCTGGTGTGGGAGTGTGATAGGAACAAGGGAAGGACAGTCAGATGCCTGTCCCTTTGGAGACAGACCAGAGGGACACTTTGGGATCTGTGGGCCAGAGAAAGCTTATACACAGGGCTCTGCCTACACCAATAGGTTCCCATCTCAGAGCCAGGCCTTACTCTACCAAGTTGGATAGTAGCTGTCCTGGGAGGCCCAGCCAGCCAAGGGAGCATGGAGTTGGCAGAATACCACAAATCAAAGCTGAGCCCAAGGTTTTTGGCTAAGTGACAAGCATCAGGAGAGGGCCACAGCATGAAAGTCCACAGAACTCCAGTTATCTGAAACTCCAGGTTTCACAACTTGGGTTGAGTGCATTCGTCCCAGACCCCTGCCTGAGCCTGTTCTGCCCTCTCTGATACTCCTTTGGGGGAGGGGAACAGAGGAAAGTGGGGGGTGGGGAGTTAGCAGCTGTTGCTGGGCTGAGGGCCTGGGAAATTTGAGCCCAACCGCAGGCTGCTTCAGGCTGCCTCAGGCAGGAGAAAGCCGACTGCTAAGTGTTAGCCCAGCCTCCCCAGCAGTCCCAGTTAGCTCAGCAGCCTGCTCTGAGCCTTGGACATCTGCAGACTGGAGTCTGCTTCCCTATCTCCCAGATCCATGGGGTGAAGGAGGAGGCAGTGACAGCTGTGTCTTATAGCCTGGGCCTCAGAGATGAGTCCAATAATGGCATTGGCGCTGTCTGGCCTCATTCCAGACATGCCCTCCTTTCCCTCTTCTTATGAGCTTGAAGGAGTTTGGATGGGAGGAAAGGGAGAGGAATGACACTTGTGTAGCCCACCAGACACAAGGGCACCACAAGCACTTTACCTCATTCACACACACACACACACCCCCCAACCCAGAGGGTTTCTCTGTGTTGCTTTGGAGCCTGTCCTGGAACTCGCTCTGTAGAACAGCAGACTGGTCTCGAACTCACAGAGATCTGCCTGCCTCTGCCTCCCAAGAGCTAGGATTAAAGGTGTGTGCCACCACTGCCCAGCCTTTACCTCATTCTTAAAACTCTCTCAAGGCCATCACTATTTGTTGCCTTCACTTAGAAGACAGGATCAGAGAGGTTAAGGAACTTGCCTAGAATAATGCAGTGGGAATGTCGAGAGGTTAAAAGTATCTGTATCTTAAAGCCCTTCAAAAAACCAGAAGGAGGTAGCAGGTTGCCCTGTTTGCTAACTGAGAGCTTCAGGTGAGCCTAGCTGCATTGCTGGGGTGGCACACTGAGAAGACAGGCTTTGCAAAGGTGGCTGGATGATTGGATGGATGATCCTGTCCAGTTTTTTTGCAGTGTGATGGATCTGGGAGAAGAGATCAACTGAGAAGTTAAAAAGTAGCAAGTCAGATGAAAAAAAAAAAGAATAAATAAAGGAAATTTGGGTTAGTGAGATCTTTGAGGAAGATGGATTGTTGCTGGCCTGAAGCAGACTGACATGTACTATGGGACCCAGTTCAGCCAGGCTAGGTTAGGTTTTGCTGCAATAACAAACAACTCCCATTAACTCGGGCAACTCTTTGTTTTCTGTTCCTGCTACTCATCCAGCACAGATTAGTGCTGGGATGGGATGGGTGGGGGTGGAGGGCTGTGCATCTTGCTAGCTCATGGATTCAGGCCAAGTCAAGCTTCATCCAGACGTAGTCGCCCCCAAGCTTCGGCAAAGGTAAAACTGCACCCTGGTTTTTTAAATTTCTATTCATTTTCCTTTGGTCAAAGGAAGCCACACAGCCTGTTGTCTAGCTTTCATTCACAGGAAAGATATCTGATATAACCAGCTTAGAGAACAGTTTTGTTTTGACTTATGGTTGGTTGGCACCATTGTTTTTGGGCTTGGGTTGAGTTCCCACCACAGCAGAAGCATGTTGAAGAAGAACATAGTACCAGTCTCACATCAGCTGGGAGGAAAGACCAGCGTCCTAATATGGCCTTCAGGGTCATGCCCTGTCTTAGGGTTTTATTGCTGTGAGGAGACACCATGACCACAACAACTCTTATAAAGGAAAGCATTTTATTAGGGCTGGCTTACAGTTCAGAAGTTTAGTTCATTGTCATCATGTCAGAAAACATGGTGGTGTGCAGGCAGACATGGGGCTAGAGAAGGAGCCAAGATCATGACATCTGTATCTGCAGGCAGCAGGAAGAGAGAGTGACACTGGGCCTGGCTTGAGCTTCTGAAACTTCATAGCCCATCCCCAGTGACACTCTTCCTCCAAGGCCACACTGCCAAAAATACCACTCCCTATGAGTCTATGAGGTTCATTTTCATTCAGACCACCACATAGCCCATGGGGCTTTCAACTAGGCCTCGCCTATTAAAGATCCCACCATCTCCCAATAGTGCCAAAGGTCATTGTCACTTACCAAAATCACACCCAGGCAAATATCTAACTTGATGGTGAACATAAGTGCACACACCCCACTCTGCCACTGCCCAGGAGCATACTGGAACATCTGATGGACAACAGCAATGACTACCACAAAGTCAAAGGGACAACAGGAAAGGATGTGGGGGAGGGAACATTTCATCATGATCTTCCTAGCAGTATGTCTCAACAGAAGCATGTAAGTCAAGGCGGGGGGGATGGGGGTGCATTGCAGGGAGGTACTAGAATGTTCTCATGGTCACTGCAACAGTTAGACTGAGGGCTTGACAGTCAGAAGGACTTATGCTCAGACCCTGTTTTCTTTCTTTCTTTCTTTTCTTTAATTAAACTTTCTTTTTATTTATTCTTTCACATCATGCATCTTGATCCCATTCATTTCCCGTTCCTTTATATCTGCTTTCTGCTCTTGCAACATCCCTCCCTCCCAAAATAAAATTTTAAAAAATGAAGAGAGAGAGAGAGAGAAAGGAAAATCTCATCGTGGAACCTGTTGTGTGACACAGTCAGACAGGAAACCCTTTTATCCATATATCTTTACTTGCAAGTGTTCATTGCAAAGAGTCATTGGTCTGGTTGGAGGCCTCTGA